CGTCGTTGTATACATTCTTTGTCTTTCCTTAAACTATGAGATTAAAATCGCTTCATATCTTTCTTTCTATGAACTAATTCTTTCCTCGCGTACTATGTCATTATACGCACTCAGTCTTTTACATATTACTACCACTGAATTAACTACTTCTATGAGTCCGGTGTTCATCTTGCTGTGCTGATTAGGTATGGCAACTTTAAACGATGCATATATGTGCCTGGTCTTACGTTGTAGCTGACTGACTGATTAGCATTTACGCTTTACCATTTCTGCACGTGTATCTCAATCGTGTAATTAGACGCTGTGCTTCTTTGAACATCTATCTTTATATCCATTGGATTGTCATATCACATACGTAATCCGAGTTGGAATAAATAACGAACAGTTTTGAATATATCTTTAGACTGCCAGTCATAATCAATGTAGAATCGAAGAATGTATATACGTTTATCTAAGTTCTCACATATTAACGTTTAATTGCAAAGGAATTAAAATAATATAGCAGCTACCATTCTAAGAAAGATTAAACAATCCGGATATTATTCGAAAATACAGGTGCACAATCTTTACTTTATAGCGCACGATAAGAAAAGGAATGAATCTGTGCCACAGTCAGTCAGTCACAATGTAGAACTTCGTACGTACGTACATCAGTTCGAGTTGCCACACCACATTAGCACAGAGATGCAGTTGTCAATTCAAATCCCCTAGTGCTAAAGTTAGTAAAAGTACAAGCAGTAATCGGAAACATTAGGGTTTGAAGATGTTATTCAAGGAGTATAATACAGTGAGATAAATTTGGAAAGAGAAAAGTGAAAGTAGCATGAAGAATTCAGAAGATTAGAATTTGGGAGAACATAAAGAGTGGATGCACCTGTGCGATTGCAAACGATGTTGAGCCATGTCATTCAGGATCTCTAGCCATCAGTTGCTAACATCTCGCGGTTCCCAACCAGGTAGTCTACACCCACCAATATGGGACTGTTCCACTGTGACTCATTATAACACATGTCACCACTCAACGTTTAACTTTATAATCTAATTACTGTAAAGGATTGAATTTTATCAAAAGAGAGTTACATAAATAAGTGATAATAACCTAACTCAGTTTTATTATTTTTTTATTCTTTAACTATCTGATTTCTTCATTCCAGCTATTTATACAATAAAGATAATCGGGATAGTGAATTTACTCAACAATTTGTACGTTTATGTAAATTATTACCTCAAATGACAAATGTCAAACCAACATCATCATCATCGTCATCTATGCAAACAATCGGTAATAAAACTGATATTCTAAATTTACTACGATTTTATAAACAAACTAATAAACAATGGTTACAACCAAAGAAATCCATCGAATTGAATACAAATTTACATGTTGGTCTACATGATTCATTAGTTCATTTAATTCATAATGATGATGATAATAATGATTATGCCGACATAACTAGTGCAACAACATTTAATGAAGCTATTTTCAAAGCATCTATTGAATGTTAAAATGCTGATACACTACCTAAGCATCGTCAACTTTATTGGATTGAATTATTTGAAAGAGTATGAGGAAGGCAGTAGAGGAAAATCGTTTTAATGGAGAAAATAAAGTTTAACTAAAATCATACATCTAAAGATACTACTTATTTACTTATTATCAAATGAACATACTATGATATTTACAAACATGTAAATAACATTTAATATTGTATTCTGTTTATCATAGTTCTTGTTTCTATAAAAAGATTATGAAAAGATTCATTCTCTTATTTGATGATGTTTCAATCATTTCACTAGCTAAGCGTACAATTACAATTGTGTTAAAACAATGAAGGCACAAGTAATTTATTACACTGAACTAAGTATTTTTCACTGGTAGTAAACAAGTCACTTGGTGATGGAAAAGATCTCCAGTATGAATGGATGTTTCACATATATAAATGTGATACGATGAAATTATCTTATGAATAAAAGAAAACTGGTTTGTAGAATTCTAAATGTAGCAGAATATTTTAGGGACTATCTGTGCTTTGTGTAGTAACCAAGGTCATAATATATATCTAGTTTTCAAGTAATGATCGATCAAGTTGAAATCTAGCCATTTGTCTTTACTGACTTATGCTGTGTGTACTGTGTTTCTGCGTATCGATTGCTTAGAGTTATCCGGTAAGTGTTGATTTGTAGGGCTGGCTTTTTTCTCATTGTTTGGATTGGTCAGCAAGACGTATGTATAATTTTAAGGGAACTGATGTCGACAAGAAGCTTAAAAATAATGATAATATGTGAAAGGAATCAGAAGCGCTTTTGATCAAAGTTGAGAAGGAATGATAAAAAGTAAGTCTCGCGATCCTTCATATACTGACCATATGAATATTTTACAAACGAAAACTGGCGAGAGTTTAGGGGCCCGTGCGTCTCGACTCCCATTTAGATCGTATGGATGTTTGCTATCGCCTATTCTCGTATATCATCGTCGACTTAAATCGCGTTATCCAATAACGGAATTAAATAAGTCGAATAACGAGAATTGATTTGTGAATACATGTATTTTGTATATGGAGTGAATGAAACAGAGCCAAGCAAAATGACGCACAGGGAGAATGGCGGGGAAGCCAACTCCATCTTTGTCAAGCGTTACTCAATATTTATAGTCAGACAAAATAAAGCTACAGACATGTGATTAATGGAATAAGAAGGGCACACACATATACGCTCATATAAAAACAGTCTAGATTGATAAGCGAATAAATAACGAGGTCAATGTATGGCTCAAGTAAAATGAATAGAATGGGATGTCCGGAAGCTAGAATAAGGTATATGGGCTTGGCATAATACCTGACACTACAAGTGAATAGCGACAGGTTCATAAAGTGGGAAAGTAGTGTTATAGTTAGGCTTGTAGAGGCAAATTTCCCCTAAATCTGACAGCAATTGCTAGTATCCCGTTAACTGAATATTTAGTGAAGGTAAATCTCCTAGTAGAATTATGGATTTACTCGAGATTATTCAAAAGCCTGAACACCAGTTATCGAAATAGTTTACTGTTAAAGATTGGTACACGGCGAGACTCTAATGTATGGAGGACCTCTGGACGAATCTGAAGTGACTTTGGGAAATATTATCCAATCAGCAAACAGTTAGTATAGAGTAAAAATATGTTATACAAAACCAAGGAAATAAAGTGGATACATTTCAAAACTTATCAAGGTTAGAAAGTGGTTCTAAAATCGTGATGCATGCAGTAGAGGAAATCATCCATACGGCTACAGAACAGTCGGCCTCTGGAGCCATGATAAAATCTCAAAACCTCTTTCAGCCTCAACCACATATTGTTTATGTGCACTTCGGTTGTTGAGTACACAAAATGCTACTTGTGGATAACGACACGATGCACATAACCAAGCCTATGTAGGAGTCTGTACGCTCTCCAAACATCCGGATATATTGTAGTACCTGGCTGCAGACAGTGTTACTGGTGCTTTTATTATCCAGTTCGCAATATTTGTCGTAATTCGCCGTAGTGAGGAATTATATATGTGGTTTTCATCACAAACTGACATCAGCTATAATGCCAGAAATTCATTTAGCCAAATGGAAGAAAGGCTTTTGCGTTAAAATCCTAGATCTATTATCTTATACCTGATTGATTCGTCCACAAATTATAGTCCCGCCGTTTTATTTGTTATAGCCGCTGAATTATCATGTTTTGTACAAAATACCCTGTGAACCGACCGTACGTTAGCACAAAGCACTAAAGTTTGCGCCGTAACCTTGAAATCTCTAACACGCATCTGATTGGCTCGTCTGTGAATTAGAGTCTCGCCACATACATATTTACTCAAATAAACTTAGTTTCCTACCTTCCGTCCTTCCTCCTAAGTAGTTGAGATCATATACAAAAGTGTGTCAGCATCAAACGGTGTAACAGTAGGCTTCACAACATGCACTAACTGCTTAAAAAGATATATGATACGAATAGGCTAAACAAACGGGTTTTCTAAGCTGTCCAGTCGCTGATCATTTTGGATGTAATGGTATCATTTCAAGAGAAACTGTGAGAAAATGACTTCAAATGTTGTTATACTTTGCTGAAACTAAATTTATTCATTCGATAAGATACTGTACGGTTGTCGATATTACTTTGATCTGGTTACCTCAGTTTTTACTACGCATGCTTTCAGTTATATTAACTTTTTCCCCGTGTTTCATTATTATCTGACCTCCATTTATCCAAACAGTCTATTTTCATTGTAGTTCATATTCCTCAATATAAACCTGTTCCCATGACATTCTGTTTTTTTCTTTAAAATTCATATAACTAATCTGTCAATACTCAACCATATAAACTATTTCATGTTCTCTGATATAAACTATATACAAATAACCGTTAAGCTACTAGTATTTGACCACAGATGCCTTAGAAATATTGCTCACATCTGCTGGGATCACCGGGTAAGTATCTTTCTTTCTACGAACAAACTCTTTCTTCCCGTACTATGTCATTATACGCACTCGTTCTCTTATATATTACCACTATTAACACTACCTCTAATTTCTGGCAAACCATTCGTTCAAATATCAACGGATATTTGTATAAATTGTCTAGATCCTTAATACAACTGGATACATCTATCTCCATTCAATAGCCAATTGATCTTCCTATTTCTTTTTATCTGACATATTTAAATCAACAAAACGAATAATTTCTGTTCTATGATTTATTTATAATTCGCAACCCGTAAATAATATCTACAAAATGTTCAAGTTTTACAAGTAGAGACCCGTTCTTAAACGGAGCCACAAGACACGTGAGAAACAATTAAAAATTGATAATTATTATTTATTATTATTATATTAAAGAGAAAAGATCTGTACAAACGAAATCAAATCATTGTGTATTTCTGAAGAAAGACATGAGGATGATGATGAAGAGGATTTAGATGGTGATGATGATGATTTAAAAGATGTTAATGATGATTTAGATGATGATGTTGATTAAGAAGATGATGATGATGATTTAGAAGACGATAATGATGATATAGATGATGATGATGATTTAGATGATGATGGTAATGGATTAGATGATGATTTAGAAGATGATATAGATGATGATGATGATTTAGGTGGTGATGATGATGATGATGATGTTGATTTAGGTGATGATGATGATGATGATGGTGATTATGATTTAGATGGTGATGATTACGATGATTTAGGTGGTGATGATGATTTAGATGATGTTGGTTTAGATGGTGATGATGATGATTTAGATGTTGATGATGATGGTTTAGATGTTGATGATGATAATGAGTTAGATGTTTGAGATGATGATGATCCATGCTACCACACTTAAGTGAGGAAATTAATTTATAAGATGAGTGAGAGAATGAAATAGAAATAATATCAACTAAGACATACAGCTGATCATGGAAAAATATACTTACCGTGAAACAAATTTATCCATTCGTCTACGGATGATAACAAGTGTAGCTACACATTTGTAGATGAGGATTAGACATGAAAAGGTCAACTATACAAGTGAATTGATGCGTTTACATTTACACAGGATGATGAAATACATTGAAGCCGAAGATAACTATTTCTCAGTGAGCTATAGAAGATATGCATCTCAACTCTAAAGCTTTTCAGTAACTGATCTTTAGAAACAAATCACGGTCTAAATTAAAACCTTTCCCATTACTTACTCGATAGCCACCAGTCCCCGAAACGTTGAAACCATGAGCTTCGTTGACATATGATTCATTTGACTGTTTGTTAGCCTTGGCAGCTTGGAATTCTCTTAGCTATTAAAAGGATGTATAGAAAAGAATGTGATGTATGGCGAAAAATCATTTCATAATATTAGTATATGTGTAGTTCATCTACCACGTAAAAGTGAGAAGATAATGTCAAGTTGAAATTATAAATGTTCGAGGTTCAGAATTAAAAACTACTAAACCGAAAATACCCGTCACGTTCAATTAGCAGAGTTTATGCTTTCCGCCCACGTTAACGTTGAAATTTAATACAATGTCATATATTAGAGTGAGAAAAGTCTGTGTCTAAACCACTTTTATTTTAAGAAAGAAAACAAAACGCAATATGGCTTTATTAGTACTATAAATAGAAAGCACTGTTCAGAGAAACGTGAGTTTCCGCTATGTACGACATGAGACCACTAAAAACAACGAATTACAAAGCTAGTTTAATTCCATTTAAATGATAGTAAGGCTTAGTGACACAACTGCAATTTTTTCCGACGTTTTGAACAGCCGTGTCGAAAGATGAGAGTTAAAGACCTAACTTCTGGCACCAGGTTTTTGAAACTACCACATAGAACGTCAAGTGCACTGTATAACGGTGGATCATATTGTAGAACGTCCTTCGTAATTGGGAAATGTGTAAAGTTGTTAGTGTTTGACCATAGACCGACGTATCTCACGTAAAGAAAAATAACTGAGTATATAACGATCTTAAAAGCAAATTATTATATTGAGCTGATAAACCGATAAACAGGGCCGCAAATACCTAACAATTGGAAAATGACAGATAGAACAAACCGTCCTCTCCAAAACCGGTAACTTTATGCATTATCTGATTTCAGCCACCACCTTATTACAATGTAATGTTGACTGACACAGATGATCACGAAAAAACCACAGGATAAGTATTTTAGCGGATTTATGATGACACTATACACTTTTTGATATTCCTTCGATGACTTGGTTACAAACACATTAGCGATCTATACCCGAACAATAAACACAAATACCTAGTATCGGAAGTGCCTGGACCCCCACATACCACAGAAAAACTGCTACTTAAATTTGAACAGATGATCTCACGAGTTTTTCTTAGACCGAACACGTACTCCAATTAAATATTTGCGTAGAGAAATCAAAATGTCAAAACCAACCAACAAAATAAAAGTATTCTGCAATAGTATGGTCATATGTCAGTGGACACACCTTTTTCTTAGCAGCCGCTATTTTCTCTGCTCTACTCAGTTCCGACATCTTACTTCTGCCAGTGTGACGTGTTAAATGAGCTTGGCTACCTTCCCTGACCTTGGCTGCTAGGCTACTTTCAAGATGTTTTTACAGCATATAAACACCATAAAAGAGCTACACTCAAACTGAGGTTGTACAACAGATTATGAGCTTATACATCTTACAAAATTACACAAAAAATAACAGGAAGACATCTTCTTTGTAACGATTAACAGATAGAGATGAGAACATTTTATTTATTATTTGTATATAGATGACATTAAATGACTCTTAAAAGAGAGTGTCTTTGTACACATTCAAGGTTGCATTTTAGTTTCAACTCGAGTATACCGAAGTTCGCAAACTTGAACTGTGTTTTTGTAAGCTTTGTTTGGTTGAAGTCATCATGTACTTACTCAACTGCTACATCCTAGTGGTCGATCTGAACAAGTGGTGATCAGTGAATGCAGAACTTGTGCATTCCTAATTACGCTCTGCTTGATTACAAAAGGGTACATAAGAGTACTCCACAAAATGGGAAAGAATATACGGTTAAGGAGGGAAAAAAATTGTGTAGAGTGTGAGGATCAAGTACAGTTGTGTCAAATACTCTTTTGTGGTTTGATTTAGGTATTCATAATATATTGAAGCAATATTTCATCAATTCATCCAAGCAACGAATTGGTCTGCACCTTAGAAGTGTGTAAGTTCTATTACTCATTAGTATTATGAATGACTAATCGGTGTAAGGAAATATTGAAGTCATTTCCTCGTGACCTGATGTGGTTTAATGGCTACCCACCTTCAATACGATGTTTGTTGCCCGTAATTCGCTGAGATATGAGAGAAAAATGACAAGAGGACAGATTGATGTGTCAAAGTGCCATATTGGAAAAGTACAAGTTCATTGTTTATATTAATAATGATGCTATAGAAAGAAATCTACAAGTTTGGTAAATTTCCATTTTACATTATACTTAAAACAACGATATATATAAGTTATTGACACAACATGTCTTTTTTATAACGCTAGTGTTAAGTTCCAGGATTTTGTATGGACCACTAATAATAATTGGTTTAACGTTAGCATAGCCGTGATAATATGCAGTGCGGCGTATCCTATTGGAGCTGGCTATAGGGAATCTGGTAAATAGATCTATGCATGTAAACAGATAATTAAAACCGTTTGAACGAGGTAAAGGGCCTACCAAGTCGATATTCACATGGGCAAAACGTGCATCTGGCTGCGAGAAAACACCTATGGGTGAATTTGTGTGACGATTAACATTTGATTGTTGGCATGCTGAACAATCTCTAACCCACTTGTGTACATCCTTCTGTAAATTCGGCCATATATATCTGGCATTGATTAGTTTTGTTGAAGATTTTGAGCCAGGATGAGACAAAGAATGAAAGTTATTATACATCAACTTTCGCATACTTTTGGGAACGAAAGGTCGCGGCATTGCCTCGGTCGTGTCACGGTAGATTAGAATACCATCGACAGGTGATGGGAACTGTTTTAAATTAAGACTTGAATTGTTTGTTTTAAGCAGGTTTTGTAATTCTAGACCCTGCTCTTGTTCGTTTCGCAACGTCTCGAAGCTTACTGTGGACTGCTGTAGCATCTGCCGCCTGATTGTCCTGACCTTTGACATGTCGGATATCGCTTGTGAACTGCGATATATAGTCAAGGTGTCGGACTTCTCGAGGTGAGTATTTATCAACTCTCGCTCTTAGTGCATTCGTTAGTGGTTTGTTATCCGTAAAGACTATAAATCCCCTGCCTTCTAACATGTGTCGGAAGTGTTTAATGGTTAGGTAGATTGCAAGAAGTTCTCGCCCGAGGTGTGACTTCGACGTTAGTTAGTTTCTCACACCATTCCCGTCTAATTCGAGTAGGTCTCCAATCATTTCGACATAGATCATCTACGTTGGTGATCTACAATATATCAAGCAATTAGACTGCAAAGCGCCATAAAATAGAAAATAACGTTTGTACACAATAAAGCCAAAAAGTGGCTATGAACGTGGGAGACAGTAGTCACTAAACTGAACACAGCTTAGTAACAGTAAATCGTATAATAAAAAATTACAGGTGAAAATGAAGCTTATAATAAGAGAAATATAAATATACACAATCTAATTGTTGAATAGTTACACCATAAGAATATACAGATATTATTAGTCAATTAATGTCTCAGAAGGTACTCGTGGTTTAATCTTCGCTCGGATATAACAGGTAATATGGATGCTTTGAAACCCGTATAACACAAAAGACGTTGTTACAGAAATGTGTTAGCAAAAGTAGGTACAAGGAAGAAGTTGAGACCACCACCGTATGAGTTAGTTCATAGCGTGCAATCGATCGGTGAGTGTTACTTGTCCTTGACCCTGACGGGGATCGGCGAACCGTTCGACATACAGGGACTCAACCGCCAGATGATTTCGCAAGGGCTCAGCGACATTTGATTGGTCCTACGGACACTTTATGCGTAACAATATTGCTATTCAATCTCTTTATTTTATATTCATCAGTTGTAAGGCATACATAACTCGTAACGTCATTACATATTACCAAATTCATTGTCCGAGTCCTCACTTTGACTTCTGTCAGTTTTGTCGGTTGCGAAATAGGTCATGTGATATTGATAGTGCTGTGCATATTTTAGGTCATTTTTTACTTCAGTCGAACCGTAACGTTTATCTACTCATAGTGCTCTGGAGTTCTCATTCTCACGTTGACACCAATTTTAGAAGAGCATATCAATCAACTAAAATAATTCAGTTTTGTAGTATATTTCTAACGAGGATTTTTTGGCAAAATTTTCGTCATTTATTTGTATTATATACTTATAGACTCTGATCCTAGTATTAACCAGGTTAATACTTAATAACAACAAATATTCAGATATTATATTCAATTGAACGAGCTCTGTGCTCACTCAGTTTCAAATCATGGCCAATAACTACAATGAAAGAGGAATTTCACTGATGATGTCACAGGTATTCAGTGTTTGACAACGCTTTTACCAGTAACACCCTCTAATATATTTCGTTTCCACCCAGAGAAATCAAAAGACAGAGTCGATGAGATCGGAAGAGTATATTTGGCGATGACCAATATATCGGAATTCTCCGATCTAATCTGGCTAGCGATTGCGGTTGATGTTGAGCACGGCGTTACCACACGTGATCTGGTGCGGATGCATGAACGTGCGCCTTCAGCTAGATGAGTCCACTAAAACATGTGGTCAGCATCCAACGTCGAAAACTTAGAGCTATTTATTTTGGGGATTTATTTACCCCCCCCCCCTAGTGGGGCAGTGACGAC